GGAGAGGCCACAACAGTGAGAGGCCCGCGTACCGCAAAAAAAAAAAGAGCAACTCCAAATGGCCAAGAATCATTTGAAAAGATGTTCCACCTCCAGATTGAAGTAACAATAAGACATCACTTTATTCTTCTGAGACTAAGAATACCTGTTGGTTGGAGGGAGGAGAAGGCTAGCTATATACATTTTCAGTAGAAATGTAAGTGTTTCAGCCTTTTTGGAAAACAATGTGGCAGTGACTGTAAAAATAAAAAATAGACTGGTCTTCTACCCAGTACTTCCACTACTGGCAGGACAAGAAATAAAACTCCAGTGCATAAGGATATGTGCACAAGGATGTTTGTTGACTTTGTTCAGAGTGACAAAATCAACAACAAAACTGGAAACAAAAATGAATTTCCTTCAATAAGGAAATGGTAGAACACGTTGGAATATTATACAGCTGTTTAAAAAAACTAAAACAGCATGTGATCCCATTTAATTTACGTTATTGTGTGTATATATGCCTAAAACTGTTGGAAGAAAAGATAGAGGTAGGTCTACATCTAGGACTTGTAGGAACACCCATGACATTACCGGAAAAAAGCAAGGTGCAGAATAACGTTTATAGTATGAGTGTTTTGGTGAAAACATACATGTCATTAACCTGCTTAGAGAAGTTTACCTATAAAATGAGGGGTGGACTAGATGATCCCCAGTGGGCCCTCCACTTCTCAGGTTCTGTGATTCCAAATCTAAGGCCTTCTGGCCTTTGGCCCTATTATCTAGGGTCTTTAGGATGATAGTTATGCTACAGACAGATATCCTTAAGATTGCAAAACAAATTTGTAAACCTCTATTCTATCACATGTGTACATGTATACAGCTCATTTAGAATGCTGTGGGGAAAATAAAAACTCATTTTAAAAATAGATTTACAGTTTGGGAGTAGCCATAGAGCTGATTCAGAAATGATGCTGAAAGATGATTGTTATAGGTACACACTAAGTAGTGAAAGGGTCTGATTTAATGGCCCACCGCCCAATTGGACTGATGAGACTAGGTGACGTCTAATAATTTTTTTAAAGTGTTAGGGTTAAAACATTTTTCAGATATTCCTATTGGCATCAAAAATAAAAAAACTGAGTTACTGCCCCATTCTGAGAAAAGGTCGCTTCAAATTTACCACTTGCCTCCTTTTTTTTAAGGGCAACCTACTTCTAAGGAAAACAGTCACCTGCGTGTGTTTCTGAAAATTCAGTATGGGGACAGCAGAGTGCAGTGTTAGAGTAAATGAAGCGGTTTCCTTTCATTTGCTAGACACAAGCAACCAAAAGCGACATGCAAGTGTGTTGATCTGAGTGTTATGTTGGAAGCAGTGGTGCATCTACTAGCTCAGTTGTACCTCCATTGACTGCTCCTGGGTCAGAGTCCAGGGAGTGACTCGAGGTAAAGGAAACAGAGGGGAAGGGCACACCTTAGCAAGTCACTCCTTTAAAGGCCAGCTGGTTCTGTGCTCTTAAGTGGAGGCCATATCTTTATCGATTCTATAATAATTCAGCCTTGTCCTTTTTTTGGTCTTTTTGGCCAGAGTAATGTTAAACGTTGTGGAAACAACTTATCTCATCAGAACAAAGTGCTTCTAAAAATCAAAGAATTATAGAATCGTAAGGAGGAGTCACTGACTCACTGCTCTGATAAAAGCAGTCATACCATTTCAAGTGTACTCTTTGTCGGAACCTGCTCTTCTTTCTTGGTACAGAACTTGGTAGGGGGAGACCAGACAGAAATCTTTCTTTTCTCAGCATGGCTTTAGGCACTCACTAATCATGTAAATCAGGCAGGAGTTGTTCCTACGAGAAATTTCAGAGGATTCAAAGTTCTTATGAACCTGAGTTGCTGGTTATGCCCAATATCTTTTTTTTTTTTTTTTTTTCCCCGATACGTGGGCCTCTCACTGTTGTGGCCTCTCCCGTTGCAGAGCACAGGCTCCGGACGTGCAGGCTCAGCGGCCATGGCTCACGGGCCCAGCCGCTTCGCGGCATGTGGGATCTTCCTGGACCGGGGCACGAACCTGCGTCCGCCGCATAGGCAGGCGGACTCCCAACCACTGCGCCACCAGGGAAGTCCAACCTCTATTTCTTAATTTATATCTTGTGACATAAAAGGACATCTCTAATTGTGAGAAAAACAAGACTTTGTCCCTAAAAACCTGAGTTGTAAAGAAACATGCAGTATTATTCTCAAGTAACCTGAACTGGGCTAACAAATATTGAGAGGTCCTGGTTTATTGTACACACTTATTTGTAATTATTATTTGGAAATACCACCCTACACAGAGATGCAGCTGTTAATTTTCCAGATAAGTCCTTTTGTATAACCAAAAAAAAAAAATTCTGTGAGTAGGTATATGGCTCTCCCTAAAACATGGACACTGCCCAGGCACACAGGTGATGCTCATGTCCCACCTTCTACACCATTTCTCACCTCAGTCTGAAATCCCCACTATTAGGTCACTCTGTTGGGTTAGGGAAAAAAAAGGTAAGAACATTATCTTTTAGAAGAGCTCTATTTAAAGGGCAGGATAAGACTCCAGGGTCCAATCAATTTGTTAATATTAGAGCAAAAGAGACCTTGGGTATCATTTACTTCAAAGCCTTTTTTTTTTTTTAAATGGCATACTGGGGCCCAGAAAATGAGTAATTGTGGCCTAGGTTATAGGAAGTCTCACAGAGTCTGAACCTTAGAGGATACAATTTACGATAGTATTAGTTTCTATCCTGACAGTGATAGATGGGGGTGCCTGTAGTGAGCCGTGGATGAACAAAGGAGATGCTAAAATGGGCTTCACTGGGTGGCAAAGCTGACGCATGGTTATCATATCCTCCTCTAGGACTTAAAGATTGACCAGAAAACACCTTTACGGGTCCTTCACCGGAGGCCCCTGGCTGTGAGAACTCGCATCATTCACTCCATGGAGACACACTATGTGGATGAGCACCATTTCCGCCTCTACCTGAAGACTCAGGCAGGAACGTATCCTTTCACCGTCTTGTGTAGCACTAATCTAACCAGAATCCTATTGGGAAAGTTCATGCTGCCCTAGAAAAGAGGTTCAACCTTATCTCGGAACAGTTCGGGAAAGGTTTGGGCTGGAGAAGAATCCTTTTTTTGTTTTTTGTTTTTTTTTTGGTCTGGAGTGTTTTTACCCATTAAATTTGTGTTTTTCAAGATGACATATTAAACCATGAGGCAGCAGCGAATTCAATGTGAACCTTAAAATTTTTAGTGTCTCACATCATGCTGAGGTGCTGAGGGCACAGTAAGTGCTCAGGGAACACTTTTAATTGATTCATTCATCGATTCATGTCTTTACACATTTTGCAAGTCACATATTCATGACCACATTTGAGTCCTTTCAGCATTTCGAGCATTTGCCCCAAATGATTAAAACAGGGATGGTAGATGGGAATGGCCCTACTTTACATGTAGACCATCACATTATTTGGTCACTGGCCCAGAACAAGAGAATAGTCCCAGTTTGATCACTTGTTCATAACTTACCCTGCTTTGTGTGGTTTTGTATCATATCTTAGTTGCTGGTTAAAATATATCAGGGAGCTGCCATAGTCTTAGCTTTAGTTTAGTTTTCAAAGGTGCTCCTAGTTTTTGTTTGTTTCTTGGCTTTATATTATTTTGTGATCCAATAGCATGAAGCATGAAACCTTCTAATTAGTATAAAACTAATGACATACTTATTGGATACAATAGAGGGAAAAATGTCATTTTAATCACCAAATAGCATTCTCACTGTATTGCTATAATTAGTCTGCCTCTCCTTTCCCATCAACCTTCTCTCCCCTCTTCTTTCCCTACTCCATCCCAGGACTGACTAAGCTGAAACAGGTACAGGTTATTTACTCCTAAAATCTTCTAAATTTTTGCAGTTTGGATCTATTTAGACCAGTGGGCTTGGAGCACATTTGCCTATTGTAGATGGAATGTGGATGGAATTTCAAAGAAATCACAGATTTTAAAAACATTTTTACCTAATTTCAGCTTTGGTTTTGGTGTGCTAGGAAGAAATGCAATGGTCTTATGGAGAAGCTAATGTCTTTTCAATCTCATTAACATATTTTTAGAACCAGCCATGTACATGTACTTAAGGCATTAGCCAAGAAAGGCTATTTGGTAAAACTTTATTTTTTTATAAATTTATTTATTTTATTTAGTTATTTTTGGCTGCGTTGGGTCTTCGTTGCTGCACGCGGGCTTTCTCTAGTCGCGGCTAGTGGGGGCTACTCTTTGTTGTGGTATGCGGGCTTCTCATTGCGGTGGCTTCTCTTGTTGCAGAGCACGGGCTCTAGGCACGCGGGCTCAGTAGTTGTGGCTCACGGGCTCTAGAGCGCAAACTCAGTAGTTGCGGTGCATGGGCTTAGTTGCTCCATGGCATGTGGGATCTTCCCGGACCATGGCTCAAACCCATTTCCCCTGCATTGGCAGGCAGATTCTTAACCACTGCACCACCAGGGAAGTCCCTATTTGGTAAAGGTTTAGATACCACGTGGTTATACACAGAAGTATGTGAATTTTTTTCGTATATTGCTCAGTATAATGAAGTAGTTCATTTGACTTATACCTCATAAAAAACATTCTGGACCTTTTAACTGGTTATTCTGGGGCTTTTTGGTCATCTCCCCTCATCATTGCTACTTAGAAGTAGCACTCTCTAAAGAAGTGAGAGAAAAAGGACAATTGTTGAGTAATTATGAGTTTAGCAAAGAAGACAGTTAATAGATAATTACATGCCTTATGCTTGAGTCAAAACATTTGGTGAAAGTATAGTAAACAAACTATCAGAAAGTGAGGAGGACATAATGTCAGCATGTTATGGTGTTAACTTTTTATTTATCATCTGAGAATAAACTTTTTTATATTCAAATTATATTAATTTTTATACTAAGTGCTGCTTTATAGACACAACAATGCTAAATGAGTGTTTACTGAATGCTGGCAAAAACACATCTTTCAGATAAAATACTGTTAAGATTATAGTAGAGTTCTGTGTAAGGAGTGTTAAGGTAATCTGAATAATTCTAGGATCAGTCATTGACTTTGAAATTTTGAAGATCTATGAGGAAAACACACAAAAAGAATTAGGTCTATTGCTAACCATGCAAGAGTTGCAAACAACTAAAATTTATGTCCTTTGATGATCCTTCTGAAGGGCCTTCATCAAGTCTAAATTAATAAGTTCATTTTCTCTCCCATCCTGTTGCTGTTGTCACTGGATCATGTTATAAGGAAAGCCATCATTGAGGTCACTCTATGAGTGACCCTGTGAAAACCTACCATTTGGCAGCCGCCTGCTGTCATTATTGAAAAATGATGAGACCAAAAAGATGACCAAATAGAATCTGTGGCAAAAAAGAAAATAGCTGAGGTTTTTTTTACTATAGTTAATTTAAAAAATCCATATTCAAACCTTGGCACTTGGAGATGAGCCAAAAGAAAAGTCATGACTCTTGGGAAGTTTGACATGGGCCCTAGGTCCCAGTGTTGGCTGCCAGGCTGGTAGGAACCAGTTTGCCATCCTTAGTTTATTTATTGCCATAGCTGTAATTTCTAAGACATACATCCCAAGTCATGGCTCAGAAATAAACTTCCTTTTATAACCTTTCTGCTTTTGTTTGTCATTTCCCCTTCAACCTGTCAAATCTCATCAAACAGTTGGTGTTGCATGGTTATCTTCATTTTTTCCTTAAACAAAACCCAGCTACATTAAAGAGTTTGTACATGGAGACTTTGGAAGAACGAAGCCGAACATTTGCTCTCTGATGGATGTGACTGCAGACATTCTTGAGCTGGATGTTGAGGTAAACCATTTTATTGTGGAAGTGCCTGTTTGTACACTGAATCAGCCAAGGTTATGCTTTTTTAGCATTAAACCAAATAGTACTATTCACTTTAATAGGTATTTGAAAACAGTCAAAATCTCACAGTAGCATTGAATTGCAGGGAGGGACTATCTTCAGAATTTTTATTTTTTAAAAAACACAAGGTCTCATTTATAATCCTTGCAAATATATAGCTAATTTACTAACTGTGCTTTACATATGACATGAGATCTAAACCCTTAAACCAAGCAAGGAAATGAAGTTGTAAGTGCCCTTCATATATCCTTTGGACTCTCTTATAAAGAATTTAAGGCAGCCTCCTCAGAAACATATATTCAGGACAGGGATAGAAAATGGGATGAGCTAATTGTTATAAATAAAAGCAGTTCTATAAGGGTTCTGTGATGTGGTATAAGAGAAATTCTCTGCTCTTATAGTCTGAATTGAAATCAGATTACATTCTTAAGTAATTAGAAGAATGGAATGAATGGATCTTTCAGACAATTCTCCATAAACATTTTTCTCATTTGAGCATCAATAGGTATTGAGTCACGAGTTGTGCACTTTGGTAAATATCTGGTTAAGAACAGCTTCCCCACACCCCACACAAAAAAAGGAATTTTTGCACTTGGGAATAATCTCAGTATAAATAAAAAGAAGTGGGTATAATTGCCTAGTATGAAAACAGCCATGGTAATCAAATGATCACTGGAACGTCATTGCTTTACCAGCACTTCTCTTGAGTGCATTCAGATTAGATTTTATACACCTGTGGTACAACCAGTGCTAGCATCTTCAAGGTTGCAGGGAGTCTTCTTAGTAAGACTATCATTTTGAGGAAGACAACCTTCTCTTAAAGAAAATCCCAAATGCATTCATCTTCTTTGACCTTAATTCTTAGGACAGCTTAGGAGTGTCAAAGAGCCAAAGGCTGGGGTTTCTCAGCCCTGATTGTCCATTGCAATCACCTGTAGAATTTTTAAAACCCTACAAACATGCCTACCTTCCCCTGACCTCAACACATACAAGATTGTGATCAGTAGTGTTTGGTTTTCAGGCTTGAGAAACCACCCATTAATTTTTATATGGGTGTTTGTTTTATGGCTATATTCTGAAACAAAACCAAAGTATTTCTTGGCATCTGTAAAAGATACACACACACACACACACACACACACACACACACACTTACTTGGGCTTTTCTAATAAAAATTTCCAAATCTGGTAGTGACTCAGATTAATTTTAAAAATAATTTGTAGTAAATCATTTCAGGTTTTACACTTTAAGTCTCGAAAAACTACATGGGTATGGTAGTTATTTTGTTTTTCTTTGTTTGTTTTTTGTATTTTTTTGTTTTAACTTCTAAATTGGGCCCTCTAGGGTAGTTAAGGCAAAGTGCAATTTCATACTTCTAATGCCTGGGACTTGATTATTTATGTGGAGACAAATAGTCTGCTACTGTAATTCCATTATGACTTAAAGATCAAGGTTTCGTTCTAGAAGTGCCAAACCAGGATGAGTAGAGATAGATAAATTCAATTTTAAAAGAAACAAAAATTCTGCTGAAGTGACATGCAAAGATCTCTAATCCTTTTCTAGTTATAGGTGATCTTTCATAACCATTTATTTCACATTTAGTTGCTAAGTTACAAACAAGATTATAAGTATATAGACTACTTGAGTACTGTTAAATGCAAGATGGGAAAATGAAAACAGTCAGAAGACTAAAAGTTCCTGAGACTTCTGAGGGAAAGTTGGTGTTGGCCCCTGCATTATTTGCTACTTTTCCCATAAATAACATTTGAAAAATTTAAACATACTCTAGTCTTGTATTGACCAAAAGGTACAGTGAATTCAGGAACAGACCTCAGGCCCAAGAATCCTAGGTCCTAGAATGGATTTTAGAGTGTGAAATCGTGGTGTTCAATGGCTCTTTTCTTCCAATGCAGTTTCTTCTGTTGCATTATATTAAAACTACTAGATTTATACAGCATTACCGGCAAATGCTTACTAGAACAATAATGTTTTAATGACTTGTTTTCTTCTTTCTAGTCTGTAGATGTCGATTGGCCCCCTGCTCTGGATGACTAGCTTTCAATGGGAAACAAAGAGTAGGGTTTTCCAGCAAAATGTGGACGTCCATTCAGCATACACTGTAAGATGGCTGTTTTTACCCACCATAACGGTGTCTTGGAAACCATTTGGATCATGTTGATCTATCTATTTTTAAATTTGTTGTAACTTCTCAGGATCTATGTACATGTATATTTTGTGTTGAATTGTTCTAAGGATATCTTATGATTTTTCTCGTTCCTTCTCCAACCCCCCACAAGCCAAACTATGAATAATGAAACCATTCATTCAGAGAGGTACACAAACAGGATACATTCTCTGAAAATCTGAGAAGCTGTAATTTCTTTCAGCAAAATTGCCCTCCACAGGATAGATACCACTTTTTTTTTGTTTTGTTTTTGCGGTACGCGGGCCTCTCACTGTTGTGGCCTCTCCCGTTGCGGAGCACAGGCTCTGGACGCACAGGCTCAGCAGCCATGGCTCACGGGCCCAGCTGCTCCGCAGCATGTGGGATCTTCCCGGACCGGGGCACAAACCCGTGTCCCCAGCATCGGCAGGCGGACTCTCAACCACTGCGCCACCGGGGAAGCCCAGATACCACTTTTAAAATCAGGTTTAAAATTTTTAAAATGATCTTGATAAAAGTTACATCTAGATTTATGCAGCACAGTATCCTTGTAATATTCTAAGATACCAAATGCAAATCTGACATCATTAATATTTTTCCCAGTAAGCTTCAAGCAAGCTATTACCAATAGAAGTGTGTTTTGGTACAATTTGTCACAAACCTTAATGACTCCAAGCTACTCTTTTGACAGTCTAAAATTGTCAGTACATTTCCTGGGGGAGAGAATGTGAGACCTTAGGAATTGAGGCATACCATAAGAGACTTTGATAAGTCTTTTAAATAAGGAGTCACAAGTGCCTTCAATGACTTCAATCCCAGGGATAAGATTTTGAAAAATTGACATTGCTAAACAAAGGTAAGCTGATATTATTCCAGAGTGCTTCAATGTATTATCCAATTTCAAACATCTTCATCTGGTAGATAGGGTATTATCTCCACTTTATAAATATGAAAACCAAAGAATAGAAGTGAACTGACTTATCTAAAATTGTTAGTTACTTCCATATCTAGGACTAGGACTGAAGTTTCCCGGTCTCTAGGGTCTTTTCTAATAAATCTTATTATTGAGCATCTGCTACACGAAGGAGGCAACCAAGAATGTCATTTTAATGGACATAACCATGAGAATTGACTTTTGGAGTTTAGATACCAAATCAAGCTTACAAAAAAATTGCCCAAGTAAATTTCACATGAGCTCATATGATTACCATTTGTTAATTAATCATTAGTTGGTAATACGAAGAGGAAAAACATTAAAGAAGCAAAGAAAATGGATAGATCATTAAGAGAAAAGTTTCAGAAAAGAGTCTCATTAGAATTTCAGATTTAAGTGCAGTTTCCGTCACCCTGATTCAACTTTCTGAGCTTATTTTGGAACACATGACTTGGATAGTATTGGATTATTCAGTTTCCCATCTCTACATTAAACATAATTCAGAGATACTAAGTTGTATCATTCACCTTAAGAATCAGGAAAACAGTTTAAATGACATGAAGAAATTTCATATGTGAATAATAGCAAATAACTTTTTCATTATTTTCAATGCCGGTAAATGAGAAAGGGATAATAGAAATAAACTTGATAAAAAGGTAAGAACGTTTGTGTGAATGTTTCTCAGTTTGGGGGGAGACTTTGCTACAAAAGAGATTTAAATAATTTGGGAAATCGTCTTTTGCAGGTTTCTTTTTGGCTTAGCTTTGAATTTAGTGGATCTGCAAATGGAAGAATTAAGAATCTCCTTAGCAAACTTAAATTAGAAGACTTGTTTCTTAAATTTCTATTCCTGGGATTATACAAAATTTCAAGAGTAAGCATTAGCTGCAAATACTTATTCCAAATATCCATATGAGACATAGGTTGTTAAAAATTAATGTAGGTCTTTATTTAAGCAGAACAGAAGACATTAAGTCATGAGAGTACTACATAGTTTAACTTTTGCCTATATAAAAATATTTTTAAATTACTTTTGTGATCTTCTATAGCTTATTTAAAAAAAAAACAAAAAACAAGAAACACTTAAGAGAAAGGGCCCTTTGTACTTTTAGTATCTTTTTGTCCCAAATATAGTCCGTGGTTTAGTTTAGGAAAAACACCGAGTACCTGGAAAAATGGGGAAAAAAAAATTTTGGTAAAATGAAAAATTTCCCAAGTAAGGTAACTGGTTTCATTTACAAGTTATATGAAATCAATTTAGAAGTTAAATTTCTGTTTCCAAAGAGAAAAAGGCATCTTACTTAGATCTTTTGGGGCTTTATTCTTTGATTTTTAAGTCCATATGAGAATGAACTTTGATGTAAGCTTTCCTGAGTTGATTTTTTTAAATGCTGCCCTTTATTATTATAGGGAAAATAAATTTTTCAATCCAATTTTTTCATTTTGAAATAATTTCAGACTTGCAAGAAAAGTACAAAGAATGTTTTTCCCAGAAATGTATCACCCTGAATGCATTAGTAATTCCTACAAACAAGGACAAATTCCGACAAACAAGGACATTCTTCTACTTCCTCACAATGTAACTATCAAAATCAGATTAACACTAACATTACTATTATGTAATCCACAGGACCCCCCCACCCCCACCCCGCTCAGATTTCACCAGTTGTCAAAAAATGTCCTTCATAGCCAAGGGATGATACTTTGTATTTAACTATGTCTGTTTAATCTTCACCAATCTGAAACAGTTTGTCTTTCCTTGACTTTCGTTACTTCAACATTTTTTGAGGATTTCAGGCCAGTTATTTTGCAGACTGTTCCTCATTTGGGCTTGCCTGATGTTTCCTTATAATTAGATTCAGTTTGTACCTTTCTAGCAAGAATACCACAGAAGGGAGATTATCTTCTTGCATCTTCTCAGATGTCACAATTTTGATCACTGCTGTTACTGATGACTGGGCTTTGATCAGTTAACGAAGGTGGTGTGTGCCAATCTCCTTCACTTTTATAGTTAACCCTTTTTTCCCTTTAATAAGTATCTTGTAGGGAGACCTTCAAACTTTCATTCATTAGTTTTAGCATTTATTGAAGATTTTCACCTGAATCTATTACCACAATGATTATCAAATGATCTTCTAATTCCACCATTCCTTTTGGCATTACACTGAAAGGTAGAGCTTTCCCTTCTTATGGATTCATGGCGTCCTATTTTATTTGATGGTTTATAATCTGTTACTGACATTTATTTTGATTTCTAAGTGTTGACGTGGCCAGTGGGTGCCCCTTCAAGATGGCTCCTTTGTCCTTGTGACATGTCCCCATCATTCTTAGAGCATGTTCTTACTTTCTAATACAAAGACATTCCAGGCTCATCTTGTATTTCATCTGCACCAGCCCTGGAATGGGCTATTTCTCTAAGAAAAACTGGTTCCTTTTCATGGAAAATGATAGAAAAAAGATCTGGGCACTAGGTGTGCTCACTGCTGTTGTGGCATTGCTGCTACCAAGCCCTCTCATGGCATGCATGCATGCACACACCCCTATATACTTATCTACATATATTGAAAATTATGAGTTTATACCAGTACTTCCGATTCCAACCTTATTCTAGTTTTCCCCCTTTCTGCATTTGTAAGTCCTTTCTGACAGTGAGAAATCTGGGTCCATTAGCCTTAACATTTTCCTTAATAGATCATTCCCCCTCATAAGTAACCAATCTCCTGTTGCTGCATCCTTATTTCAGATCACTGAGACTCCCCTCCCTACCACCCTCAAATGTTCCCAGGCTCCACACTGTAATCCCACAATGGGCCACCATCTTTGCCCCCTGTGGCAATAGGTAACTGTACCTTGCTCAGAATAAGCAAATGACTTTTGTCCTGAATTGTTCAGGAAGGGAGAGAGACAGGCAGGAAGTAAGTCAGGAAGGCAGAAAATGAAAATCTCTTTAAAAGGCATTTCAGTACTCTACAAAAATTATCATTTTATTTTATTTATTTGATTTTTTGCGGTACGCGGGTTTCTCACTGTTGTGGCCTCTCCCGTTGCGGAGCACAGGCTCCGGATGCGCAGGCTCAGCGGCCATGGCTCACGGGCCCAGCCACTCCGCGGCATGTGGGATCTTCCCGGACTGGGGCACGAACCCGCGTCCCCTGCATCGGCAGGCGGACTCTCAACCACTGCGCCACCAGGGAAGCCCAAAAGTTATCACTGTAAAGGACAGTTACATATGTAAGTATATTCAGATACAGCATTCCATAAAAATGTCTAATGTTTCTAAGCAACCAAAACTGCCTTTCTCTTTAAGGAGGATGCTATAAATACAAGAACATCTTGATAATTTTAAAGTCAAACAGCAACAAATTTTTGTAAGCGTTTTAGAATTTTTTCCATTTATTATATTATCAAGAAAAAAATCACTGTATACAAGATATTACAAAAGTAATAAAATATTCTGTACAAAAAGACATTTTGACATTTAAAAAATGATTTCAACTTTTAAGTATCACACTTAACATTAAATAATTGAACACTGAGAACTTTTAAAAATCATTTTTTTCAGTGCTTCCAAATTCATTACAGTCATTAAGAAGCATATACAAATAGAACAGTTAAAAAATAAAAATAGCAGTGCCATTCTTCAGGGATCTGGATTCATCATAGTCAACAGTATTTTTAAGTACATTCTTTTAAAATGGAAGTCATCTCCAAAAGGGTTCATCTGGTCTGAACCATGCATTTAAGAATGCCCATTACCCAAAAACTTGGTGTTTTCCTTTCCATCTCAAAGCTATCTGAACTGTGCACCAGCAACCAATATTTTTAGCTGATTACCAAATAAAATCAAGTGTGTTACTAATGAAGTCTCCTGAGACTGAATTCCACAAATGGGGTCCCCAAACACTCCAACTTATTTTTCACTACATTTTATGCAGAGCTGTAATGTTCTGATTAAGGTTTAATTAGAAAAATAAGCAAGATGAATGATACCTTTAACAAAGTTTATATTTTACTTATCTGCTGATATTCCTGAAAACTTGATTTACTGAAGCACCAACATTTTGTACTAATTACTGTGTATTACTGTTCACACATAGGTATTTAATGAATTTTTGGTGATTCTTTAAATTTTTTTTTTCTTTCTTTAAATTTTTGAAGTCCAATAGTAAACTGAAATTGTAGAAATAAGAGATGTGAGAAAAAAGAGTATGATAAATGCTACTCCCTTTAAGTAGATAATTACTAGCAGGTAATTTTTTCTAAAGCCACAGACATTTAGAATAGAAAAAATATTTAGAAGAAATAATTCTTTAAAAATTGTATCTGTGTTTTGTTAGTGAAAGTAGTGGTGACATGATTACTTTTGAGACTTTACTGATGTTAAGTTTGTACTTTAAACTCTGCTGAGATGTATTAGTTAAGATATTAATTTGACCAAGTCTTAGACAAACAAAGGCATAAAACTGGGTACAGACAACTCATACATTTATCTCTGATTTGCTACCCACTCCTGGGCTTATAATTTTAAATAGCATGAAATTTTGTATTATTTGTGATGCAAAAAGCACCCTAATTTTCCCCCTCTCATACTCAATCTCCAGAAACAAAACAGATCAGAAATCTTTACGTGGCCACTTCATTAGCTATGATGAGACTCCTTCTTAGGAAGATAGTCATAATACTCCCAATTCATAGTCAATTTTGGCAAAGAAATTAAGAGTAGAATTTCAGAACCCGAAGTCATTAATTGACCTTATCTTCACTATACAATAGGAAATGTTCTGGAAAGAATATGGCCAAATGAAAGTCCTCCATATTTGGGCAATAGCTAGCTACTCTAAAGAGGAAGTCATTCCAGGGTTCTTACTAAAGAATCTAATCCATAGTGATCTGTCTGTGAACTGGAAGGAGTGTTTGGATTAGAGATTATCAGGGCCACAGGATATATGCATATGTTGGTTTACTAACAATATTTGATTTGCATTATACAATTTACAGTGTTTCTTCTTATGCATTATTTTATTTAATACAACACACCTTGTGAGTTAAGTATGCTGGGAATTATCTGCATTTTATATCTGAAGAGACAGGCCCATAGAAAGTGTGATCTGCTAAATATTAAATGACTTCTAAGTGGCAGAGCTGAAGATTCAAACCCAGATGTTCTGACTAAAAATTACTCTTTCCATTTCTCCATGCTATTTAACATCATACAGTAAGTTTTTAAATCCCTCAATAAATCAATTAATGATAGAAGAAATTATTTGGAGCTACTAGGCAGACTGGACCACCAATTCTAAGTCTCTCTTAACATGGACAGTATAATAGTTTTTCTGAAGCATTAGGTTAGAAATTGACAACCCAGCTGTTTTTGTTCACTAAGGTTTTGAGTAGGGAAGCCCAGTTACCAATGTAAAAGGCCATTAAGATAGTAGGTTCTGATGACAGAAATCAGAATAGTGGTTTTGAGGAGTAGGTAGATTGGCAAGGGGCATGAAGGAAACTTCTGGGGAGCTGGAAATGATTATTTACATATGTAAAAATTCATCAAGCTGCAAATTTAAAATTAGTCCACTTTATGCACTTTACTATATGTTATCCCTCCAAAGAAAAAGACTGACATCTTTGAGAGCAAGACTTTGTCTCATTCACCTCTATGTCATTTCTAGCTCCTAACATGGTGCTTTGCACATTAGACATTCAAAAATGTGACTGATCACATGAATACTGGAGTTTCTGTGCATGGGTAAGGTGCTGAGGAAATGCACCAGAGGGGAACTGAGATTAAACCTGCCACACAGAGAGAGGAGGAGTAAGGTCAGAGATATGAAACAGTCCTAGTAACTGTAAAATTTCTACGCAATACAGTTGACACTACAGGAGGCACAGGGTAAAGTACGTCACAAGCCTGGTAATCTTGGCATCGCGGCTTTTCCTGCCAGGTTAAATACCTTTCCCTTTAAAAACCATATCCTTGTCCACATTTTTTATAATCACACCTATGTCAATTTCACCCTTCCCTCTCTATCAGCACTACCATTTATTCAGCACCAGCTGTGCCAGGCATTGCGCTAAGTGATGGAGTTCCAAAGGTGAACGAGAGAAATTTCATATAACTGTATAGTTCAGTGAGAGGAGTTCTGCAGTAGGGTGGGTATGTGTAAAGCTGTGCCTCAGCTAGGATCAAACTTCACCGAGAAGCCCCATCTTGAAGGCTGCTTGCTGTGGAGGTAAAGAGCAGAGGCAGAGCGGACAACATGCGAAAGGCATGGAGGCCTAGTGGCCTGAGAGAGTCTTCAAGGAATGCTAACTATGCAATACAGTGTATGGAAGAAGGGGTATTATTTTTAACTGGGGCAATACGGAAAAGAGTCTTGTTAGGGAAAAAGAATGAAGGCCTTAAACTAAGAAAGCAGCAGGAATGAAGAAAGGACAAATATAAGAGATTTTCAGGAGGCAGACCCAAAAGGACTTGATAACTCTTTGAGTGTGAGGACGAAAAAGAATAAAATACGATTTTGAGACTCCTATTAAATATCTTGGATGGTAGGGTAAATGGTAATGCCATTAATGAAAGTAGAGAATGCAACAGGAGCACCCAGTTTATAAAGACATTCAGGTATCCTAGGAGAAAGCTGAAGCTTTCTTCTGAGCACTGATGAGGTCACCCAGGGGAAAAAAGTAGCACCAACTGAGCGCTGGGGATGAGACTCTGGAAAGAAAGTCAACCTCAGAGAGAGTATCTGAAGAGGGAGTGGTCGAGAGGATAGGTTAAAGATAGGTCAAGCAGAGTGAGGACTGATAAAAAGACACTAGATTTGACAAGGGCGGGTGTCTCTGGTCACTTTTCCCAGAATATCATAAGAAAATAGTAGGAGATAAAAGAGAAAAACTGATAGGCTAAAGAATGACTGGGAAGTGAGGAAATGGAGGCTGAAAGCCTTTTGTAAGTCTGGATGTGAAGGGAAGGAGCACGATAGTGGTAGGAAAGGTGTTTATCCTTTCTCTTTTAGGCTAGAGAAAACAGTTACCGTGTTTATACGAGAAAAGCACTAAATGGTAATATGAGGATACAGAAACAAGATGGGAGAGAAGGAAGAGGGATCCAGTATACAAGTAGAGTTTAGGAAGCAAGAGGTAATCTCAAAACTAAAAGTAGGGTGATAAAAGAACAGATGAAAGTATAAATACATTTAGAGAAAAAGAAGCAGGTTACCAATTTTTTAAAATTATAAAATAAAATGTGTGATCAGTAAATAGCACCTGAAAAATGAAAAATCCTTTGGAAATACTCTGAACACAAACGTAGCTGGACCTTGATTCAACTTACATAGAAAAATAACCCCGCAAAACAAGTCAGTTGTTTAAAGTATCCATTTAGATAGCCTAACAGTCAGTGTTTAAGCTGGTAAGTGCTAGTTACTACAAAATTATAGGATTCTGTATTAAAAAAAAAAAAGTTCACCATCTATAAGCTACTATCTGGAGATATCTTAGGTACATTTTTTTTTTGCTATGAATTTTTTTTTAACATCTTTATTGGGGTATAATTGCTTTACAATGGTGTGTTAGTTTCTGCTTTATAACAAAGTGAATCAGTTATACATATACATATGTTCCCATATCTCTTCCCTCTTGCGTCTCCCTCCCTCCCACCCTCCCTATCCCACCCCTCCAGGCGGTCACAAAGCACCGAGCCGATATCTCTGTGCCATGCGGCTGCTTCCCACTAGCTATCTACCTTACGTTTGTTAGTGTGTATATGTCCATGACTCTCTCTCGCCCTGTCACAGCTCACCCTTCCCCCTCCCCATATCCTCAAGTCCGTTCTTTATTCCTGTGTGTCTTTATTCCTGTCTTACCCCTAGGTTCTTCATGACATTTTTTTTTTCTTCTTAAATTCCATATATATGTGTTAGCATACGGTATTTGTCTTTTTCTTTCTGACTTACTTCACTCTGTATGACTGACTCTAGGTCTATCCACCTCATTACAAATAGCTCAATTTCGTTTCTTTTTATGGCTGAGTATTGGGTACATATTTTGAACAGGGAAGAAATGCCTTCATGTTTCTTCTCCCTGGTAAGTTCTACTAAAGTATGTTATATGCTTATGATTTTTAAAGTTATACAACAGAAGTATTTCTTTTTGAAATCATAATTTCTAAGAGATATTAATGATAGTTAGGTGTCTTTAATCTTTTTCTTTCCATACTATTCTGACCCCAAGTCTTATCATGCTCTCCTTCTCATTTCCCAGTATCATTCAACTCAGAATTTTAATTTTTATGACATTCACACATTCCCCATTTTGACAAAATTGACTAGCTTTAATCGTTCCAGTAAATTTATGGTTTGGTTGGATACTACACATAAGTGAAAAGACACATTGTTTCTAGCTAAAAATATGCTCAACATTTACGTACATTCTAGCTGTAAAATAAACTAGGTCTTTATCTTTAGCAAGTTACTTAGCATCATGATGATTCCATCACAATTAAGATTACTGTCCAAATTCTACAGTCATTTTGCCACTGGGATTACTTTGCTTTCAAACAATTTGGGTCACCATTATTAGTCATCAACCTGAATGTACATGATTCTGATATAATAAACTCAATGTCACATGAAGCAGAACTATAAAAATCATAAACATCTAATAATTAAAGCTATTCTTTCTTTCAAAAACCGAAATTCTATTAGTAGTACTTTGAATGTTCAATAAATATTTACTGAGTGCTTAACAGGAAGCAGACACTGTTCTACAAATGTGGGATTCAACAAAAACACAAAACTTTGCCCTCACAGAGCTTATATTCCAGTATGGGAAAACAAATATAAACAAACAAACAGTAAAGTCAGATCATGATAAGTGCTATGGACAAATGTAAAGGAGGGGAGACATGGAGTGTCAATGTATATATAGTTATGGAAGGCCTTGATCAAATAACAGTTGAGTGAGACTGAAGGATGTAAGGCATGAGGTACACATACAACTGAGTTTATTTTACAACTAGTTCCCTTGTTGTGGAGCACGGGCTCTAGGCATGCAGGCTTAGTAGTTGTGGCTCACGGGGTTGTCTGCCCTGTGGCATGTGGGATCTTCCCGGACCAGGGCTCAAACCCATGTCCCCTGCATTGGCAGGCAGATTCCTAACCACTGCACCACCAGGGAGGTACAAAGGGTCTGAGGCAGGAGTGTCCTCGGTGTTTTTGAAGAGGAGCATTGAGGCTAGAGTGCCTAGAGCTGAATGAGAAGGGGAAAATGGTAGTGAATGAGGGTAAGAGAGGGAGTGTGGGCCTGCTAATTTTAAGGATTTTGGTCTTTAAGTGAGATGGCGAGCCACTGGATGGTTTTGAGCAAGTGAATATGATTTTATTTCTTTTAAAAATAATCACTGTGGCTACTTCAGGGAGAACAGACGGCAGGAGCACAAGTATGAAGAGAGTTTTTGGAGGCTATAATTCAATCTATGCAAGAGACGATGGTGGTCTGGAATAGGATGTTAATATCAGAGGTCAAAAGAGGTGGGCAGCTTAAGATATATTTTGAAGGTAGGGCCTACCAGATTTGCTGATGGATTGGATATGAGAGATAAAAGAAAAAAAAGAAGCAAAGATGACTCCATTGTTTTGGACCTGAGCAACTGGAAACATGGCATTGCCATTTATTGAGTTGAGGAAGACTGAAGGATAAGCAAGTTTGGGAGGGAAGATCAAGAACTCAGCTCTGGATGTGTTGAGTTTGAGCTTTAATTACATCTCTATGTAGAGATGTCAAATAAGCAGTTTTACACACACACATAAGCTCCAAGACTGGAGTTCAAGGGGTGGGTCTAAGCTAGGGGTAAAATTTGGGAGTTGACAGCATGAAATTGGATGAGATCACAGTGAGTTCGGACACATAACAAAGAGGACAGGTCCAAGAAAACTTCTTCCTCTTAAAAACATGGATGTAAAGTTAAAATCATAAGCAATTTTACAGGTATGGATCTAAATAGTTCAAAATGTAGGGAACTCCCATACCTTGAAAGCTTACTTCAACTGCCTGCTGCCCAACTTAACATTTTAAAGAAATTTTGATTTACATGTAAATCTAAGAAACTCCAGAAAGCCTCAGAAAACCCCTTAGGGGTCACCTTGGCCCATTGGCCTCAAAAATAATAAGGAATTAATTTTTCCAATGACATAGCCATTACAGGTTTTACCTTAAATTTGCTTAAAAGCAAATATCAGTTAATTCATTTAACTAAGGATACATTAATACATTATAAAAGAAGTATAAAAAGATGTAGCTGGAAAAACTGAAGCCTTGCTCTAATGTTCTCCTCAGTCTGTCCTGGGAAAATGTGGCAGGATTCTCATGCTAGAATTCCCACCACACACAGTATCAGATCACATGTTTCAAAAGAAGAAACAGTAAAGCTCTTTTAAATTTCTATTTTGGAATTTTCCTTTTATGACTTTCCAACTTTGTATTCTACATACCCAAAGTTGGATTTTTTTAATGGAAAAATTGATTTTATTCAGTATTTAACATGTCACAGATTCATCATACACTGGTTTACATAAATTTTCTTTGTATGTAGGATTCCACAATGCATCATAGCCTAGGAGTTCAGTCTGTGTGGATTTATCTAGTTTTGAAGCAAAAGTCTTCTGTAAATGCTGGACTTTTTCTAACTCTTCCTGAAGTTGGGAAATGAGTTCATCCTTCTCTTTTAGCTGCAGCTTCAAGCACTGAGCATTCATCTTTTATATCCCAACAAATTCTCTGCCAGAAAAACAAGAAGCTCCCAAGACAAGATTGCCTGTTAGAGGAATCCCCTACATACCTGAAGTTATACTTACAGTTGACCCTTGAACAACACGGGGGTTGGGGTGCAGACGCTCCGTGCAGTGAAAACTCTGTTTAAAACTGTACAGTCGGGCTTCCCTGGTGGCGCAGTGGTTGAGAGTCTGCCTGCCGATGCAGGGGACACGGGTTCGTGCCCCGGTCCGGGAAGATCCCACATGCCACGGAGCGGCTGGGCCCATGAGCCACAGCCGCTGACCCTGCGCGTCCAGAGCCTGTGCTCCGCAACGGGAGAGGCCACAACAGTGAGAGGCCCGTGTACCGCCAAAAAAAAAAACAAAAACGTACAGTCGGCCCTCTGTCTCCATGGATGTCTTCTGCATCCATGAATTTAACCAACCTCAAATCGTGTAGTACTGCACTACATATTTAGTGAAGAAAATGTGAGTATTAACTGGACCTGCCCGCACAGTTCAAACCCGTGTTGTTCAAGGGTCCCCGATATACTGTAGTATAGAGAAATATATAATGTTGTATTTATAAAGGTAATATCAAAAGGGTTACCTTTAAAGGGATTTAATTCTTGAATCACCATTTATATCTTACAAGTTAACCTGAAAAAATTCGAATGCAAATGAGTCACTCAATTGTTCATTCTGCATAGTGCCAATACCTGAATACTGACTATTTTGAACAAAACTATGACTGTTTGGATTAGTACCGTTTGATGGTCCTGACTCATTTATCATACTGTTATCTGCACAATTAAAGTCAGATCCCTCAAATGCCTCTGACTGTGAAACAAAAGCAGTAGTACTAGAACTGGCGACTGCTGACATCCTGGAAGAGGACATCTGATGGAGCTGTCTTAAGTCTCTTGGGTCTAACACTGAAGTACAGGCAGGATTTTCAAGATTCATGCTCACAAGTCTTGGATTATCAGTCTCCCTCATGCTGTCATTACTGGGCGTTATCATGTTCACAGGGCAATTAGGCAGCATGCTGGCATCAGAAATACCATATAAGTCAGCTGGTGACACGGATGATGCTTCCATTCTGCCTATGTCATCAGTATTGTTATAAATGCAAGCATTAGACACATTCAAATCACTCACAACAGACATTTCCAGGAATGGTGGGATAACTTGTGAATTAGAGGAAAGTGTCCCTGTTGAAAAACTACTCAGTGAATTTGTATTGACTGAACGTGAGGTGGCATGGGCCACTGATGACCAGCTTGAAGAAGGCTGAGGTACCATTGGGGGTATGGCCGAAGCATGATGTGGCAATGCACTGGAGATGGGCGCAGATGAGGAATAGTAGGATTCTGCTTGACTTGAAACTGGCCCGGACGTTTCTGTCAAAACTGCACCATGCGAAAACAAGATTGGTTCTGTGGGGGAGGAAATGTATTTGTACAAAACGGAAATGAACAAAATTATGAAAAGCATTACTTCTAAATTAAAATTACATAAACACATAAAAAATTTTAAAGGAAACCAATGTAACACTTCAAATAGAAATGTTAAATAGCACTAAAAATTATTACGAGTCCAAAATTGAATTCTTTAATACTAATTGTTTTACAAATACCTATAAAATAATTTTGGTAAGTTACTTTGGCATTGAAAATTTCACTCCAGTTAAATGTGGAAATCTAGCTTCTGAGTCCCTATAAAGGTATTTTTGAAATGTGAAAGATAAATATCAGAATTTCAGTTAATGGACCTCTAAATATTCAAAATCTTTCATATTCTCCTCTTTAAGAGGATATGGAGGGATGGAGGAAACGTTCATTAGGGATGACTTAAAAGTCTACATAAATTTCCAAGCTATATTAAGATACTACTCACTCTAAGGTACTACAAAATTCCCAGTCAGAAAAAAAATGAAGGAGTCTGTATTTGTTTACATGTTATATGACTGCTGTACATATTAAACCAAGAAAAAGCTCTGATTTAAGAATGTAAAAAGAAAAAAAGACTTCTAATTAACCCTGGTTGAATGATCTAAACCAGAATTTGGCAACTTTTTTTTCCATAAAGGGCCAGAGAGTAAATATTTTAGACTTTGTGGGCCATATAGCCTCTGTTGGAACTACTCAACTCTGCTGCTATAGTACAAGAAAAGCAGTCATAGACAATATGCAATCAAATGAGCTGTGTTCCAGTAAAACTTTACAAATAAATAAATAAATAAATAAAGATAGGCAACTGGCCAGATCGAAATCATTTCTTCCATGACACACTGTAATTAGTAAAATTACCACCATATGAATGAAATGTAATTTCTCAAACAATAAATCCCCCAAACATAATCATAGTTGCCAACAGGTCTTTCGGAAGCTGAGATCAATTCATTCAATATTCATAGCATAAAAAATATGTAGGAGTGGAATAAATCAAAGAGGCAGTTTTCATTCCTAAGAATGGAATTCCAATATACTGTGCAAAGCACTGGTCTCTCTAATCACAAGGAATACTCTATAGGGAATAAAATACCTTTTTTGATGAATCTTCCTTCTCCAGTTGATCCTAGGGGACTAGGTCTAGGTCTTTCAGGAAAATTAACTCCTATGATAAATTTTTTCCATTATTAAATGTAACTTGAAAAACAACAGTATATCAGTTAAAATTTGAAAAACTGAACAAAGCAAAACAAAACAAAACAAAACAAATTTACTTAAATACAAATCAATCCAAAATGTTCAGGGACCTCCCTAGTGGAGCGGTGGTGAAGAATCCACCTGCCAAGGCAGGGGACACAGGTTCAAGCCCTGGTCTGGGAAGATCCCACATGCCGTGGAGGAAATAAGCCCATGTGCCACGACTACGGAGCCTGCGCTCTAGAGCCCGCGAGCCACAACTACTGAGCCTCCGTGCCACAACTACTGAAGCCCGTGCACCTAGAGGCCGTGCTCTGCAACAAGAGAAGCCACTGCAATGAGAAGCCCGCGCATTGCAACGAAGAGTAGCCCCCACTCGCCACAACTAGAGAAAGCCCGCGGGCAGCAACGAAGACAAATGCAACCAAAAATAAATAAATAAATTTGTTAAAAACAACAATGACAAAATATTCTTACCACAATCCTGCCACAGTTTCTGGAAAAGGAGAGTTGTTTTTTGTTTCTTTGCTTTATTGCCATATGTATCTGGTTAGAAAGAAACCGAGAAAACGTGATTCATCATGGGATTATGCTTCCTCTCCTTTAATAAATATACAGATATTCTACTCCTACATAGAAAATGCTTTAAATAAATGTACATAAGATGGATTTATAAGTGTCACAAACTACATCCCAAGTCAGTAATAAAGGATATTTTTCTTAGTAAAAAATAGTTTATAATATTCATCTTGTTTTCTTATAACACCTACAAGTCACCAATGTCAATTAATGCAATAATGGCTGATAAGGACCAAAATGGAGACCACTTTCTGAGTGGCAAGTATGCCATCTATCAAGAGGGCACAATAAGGACCAAAATAGAATCTCAAATGTAAAACAAATTTTGATAAACAGTTTAGATACTTTGAAATTATTCCAGATACCTTTCCTAAGGAAGAGATTCAAAGATCACAAAGATCAGTCAAAAATCAACCAAAAGCTTTCAGGAAAAGAAACATAAATTATGAATAAACACAACTGTATTCAAGTGTATCGTACAAGAAAATGTTCTTAGCAGGACTAACTTCAAGAAATATATAAAATATTACCATGAAAAAGTCATACCTTTTTCGTCTGGCAGATATCTAAAATCCATAGATTCACTAACTTCCTGGTCAGAAGGTCTTCGCAACTGCATTTTTACTGTTACCGGTTCCGTAATAGCTTTGCAATATGGTGGAGTCTTGAAAACAATGGCTACTTGACGGTGTACATCAGCTTGTGAAAAGATACCTTTTGCTTCCCAATCGTTCAACACAAACCGAACTTCTATGTCATCTAGTGAATACGAAAGCAAGTAACAATGGGAAAAGAAAGCAAAATGTATCTATCAATCTAAAATATATTCTGAATTCAATGAAACAAACAAAAAAACAACATAAGAATACCTTTCTGAACTTTGTCACAGAGTAGAAATATTTCATCTCCTCCTCTGACACTTCCACAGTTCTTGTTTACACGACAAATCCTTAATTCTGCAGTATTAGGAGCACCTAAATATAAAGGATATTTTTAATGGGTTGCTACCTTAGTAATATGTCTTATTCCTTTCTGATGGAGAATTTTAGAAAAACAACTTACAGGATAGATAAAAGCTTTAGAGTATAAATAAATTAAGGGCACTCAATACCTTAATCATCCAAATCTGTCCCCTGGTTTAGAGTGTTATGACTTCATTTCTAGGCAATGACATGTCCTCTAATTAAATCTCCTTGCTTCTAAATTCTGATTCGTCCTATCCATCCTATACACTGTCATCAGATTAATCTTTTTAAATCATGATCATAACCCTGTGGCAATGCAGTTTTCATGCTTCCTATTATCTGGTCAACATTATTCCAGTAATTCCCTGGCATTCAAAGCTCTCCATGATGAGGATATTCTGATTTACCTTTATAGTTCTATGTCCCACTATCCTTCTACATGTAAAACTGGTATAGTCATACACCTGGTGGGTGCATATATAAGAGCATACAAACACACAAATATTTGAGGGCAATTTCATAATCTTTTAACACTATAAATATCCATATCCTTTGATCTAGCATTTGCCAACATTTCTACTTCTACAAATTTATGCTAGAGACATTTGCACAAGATATGCACATGTGGGATATTTACTGCAGAACAATTTGCTAAAGCAAAAAGAAAAGAATTGAGAAGGAAACAAACCAAATGTCTTATAATAGGGTAATGATTTAGTAAAATTATGATATACGGAAATATGCAGCTACCGAAAAGAATAAGGTACCTGAAAGGTAAAGAGGTTCAAGATATGTTGCTAAGAGGAGAAAAAAAAAAGTTAAAAAAAAATCAATGACGATTTTTCAAAAAGTTGCCAAAAATATATTGTGTGAATGATGGTGATGATGATGAAATGAGGTAATTGTATATATATGAAGAAGAAGCCGGTGAAATATCTTTGGAGGATGAGATGTATAGGAGGTTTACTCTCCTCATTATCTACTTCAGATAAATAACATCTATCCCGTAATGTTTGAATTTTTCCTATAATGAACACTCTTTTTCTAATTACAAAAACACTTTAAAAAATCATTTTAAAGAGCTAAGGCTACAAATACAAGAAAATAAATTACTTACGGTTGTCATAAATTGGGTTAGAGACAACAGGATGTAAAGCAGTTGTCAAATTACCACGTTCGTCAGGGAGGAAAACTTGAAAACATAATCTCACCACATTGAGGTCACAGTCTTCAATATCAAGCAGCTCTTGCTCAGAGACTGAAAAGTATATATTTTTTTAAGAATACAGAATAGTCACATAGAACTAAAATCCTGCTAAGTCCTCCTCCCTGCCCAATATAGCCTATAACCTTTAGTAGCATACAAATCTGTCCTAACAAAAATAGAATGGTACATAATCTCAAGACTGCCTTTTATCCTTTTCATCATGTAGTCACTATCCAACATAATTTGTTAAGTTATGACCACGGTCAGGAAGTAACTACCCCAGCCATGTGAAATTTAGAGCAGAATCCAAACTTGACATAAATCAAATTTTTACAAAAATGGTTGCAGGTCATACACAATAGAGAATAGGCATTCATTCATTAATTCAACAAATATGTATTTAGTCCAGTCATGTATTAAGGACTCTGTAAATTATCTCCAAAATCTATATAAGAATTACTCCATTTTACAGATGAGGAACTGATTTTAAAGAAATGAAATTGGGACTTCCCAGGTGGCGCAGTGGTTAAGAATCTGCCTGCCAATGCAAGAAACACAGGTTCGATCCCTGGTCTGGGGAGATCCCACATGCTGCGGAGCAACTAAGCCCATGAGCCACAACTACTGAGCCTGCACTCTAGAGCCCGCGAGCCACAACTACTGAAGCCCGTGAGCCTAGAGCCTGTGCTCCACAACAAGAGAAGCCATTGCAATGAGAAGCCCGTGCACCACAACGAAGAGTAGCCCCCGCTCGCCGCAACTAGAGAAAGCCCTCATGCAGCAACACAGCCAAAATAAATAAATTTACTAAAAAAAAAAATTAAATTACTTGTCCAACATTTCACAGCTAAGAAGTGGCACAGAAGAATTCAAACTCAGGCCATTGAATCCAGAGCCTATGCTCTTAAAAACTGAACTCTATTAGAAAATTTTACATATGTTTTGCGTAAAAATGACATACACAGGAATATCTACAAAAACTTAGATCAATATTTTAGGGATTAAATACCAAGAGGATACTAGAGGAGGTAAGTCAGCTAGTTTCCATAAGAAATTTTATGTGCAAACTAGGTTTGCTTAAAAAAAAAAAAAAGCTACAGCAGGAAAATTTTACAATTCTGAAAAAAAAGTTTTTAAACATTCTTTATTACAGAATATAATATAATGACAGTTTGTTAAATTGCTATTTAAAAGAAATCCAGTTCCAAAGGAGAATATTACTGCCTTTTCAAAGATACTATAAGGTGCAGCAATCAACCATAACTAACATAGCCGTATTTTTAAAAAGCATGAAATACACATATTAAATTATACAAACATTTTTACTTTTCAGAAAGTATTGAAATTTGAAACACTAAATTTGAAAACAGTTAAAACCCCAATTCTTTTTTTTTTAATTAATTAATTAATTTATTTTTGGCTGTGTTGGGTTTTCGTTGCTGCACACAGGCTTTCTCTAGTTGTGGCGAGTGGGGGCCACCCTTCGTTGCGGTGTGCGGGCTTCTCATTTCAGTGGCTTCTCTTGTTGTGGAGCATGGGCTCTAGGCACGCGGGCTTCAGTAGTTGTGGCACGCGGGCTCAGTAGTGGTTCGTGGGCTCTAGAGCGCAGGCTCAGTAGTTGTGGCACACAGGCTTAGCTGCTCTGCGGCATGTGGGATCTTCCCAGACCAGGGGTCGAACCCGTGTCCCCTGCATTGGCAGGCAGATTCTTAACCACTGCGCCAACAGGGAAGGCCCAAACCCCAATTCTTTACAATTAGCAATAACTAATAAAAATGACAATGTACCTTTTTTTTTTTAAATCTAGTCTGATAATATTGATCTTTTACTTGGAGTATTTAGTCCTATTACATACATACATACATATTATTTATCTTCTTTTAACATCTTTTTTTTTTTTACATCTTTATTGGAGTGTAATTGCTTTACAATGGTGTGTTAGTTTCTGCTTTATAACAAAGTGATTCAGTTACACATACACATATGTTCCCATATCTCCTCCCTCTCGCGTCTCCCTCCTTCCCAGCCTCCCTTATCCCACCCCTCTAGGCGGTCACAAAGCAACAAGCCGATCTCCCTGTGCTATGCGGCTGCTTCCCACTAGCTATCCATTTTACATTTGGTAGTGTATATATGTCCATGCCACTCTCTCACTTTGTCACAGCTTACCCTTCCTCCTCCCCATATCCTCAAGTCCATTCTCTAGTAGGTCTGTGTCTTTATTCCCATCTTATCCCTAGGTTCTTCATGACATTTTTTTTCTTAGGTTCCATATATATGTGTTAGCATACGGTATTTGTCTTTCTCTTTCTGACTTATTTCACTCTGTATGACAGACTCTAGGTCCATCCACCTAACTACAAATAACTCAACTTCGTTTCTTTTTATGGCTGAGTAATATTCCATTGTATATATGTGCCACATTTTCTTTATCCATTCATCTGATGATGGACACTTAGGTTGCTTCCGTCTCCTGGCTATTGTAAATAGAGCTGCAATGAACATTTTGGTACATGACTAGTTTTGAATTATGGTTTTCTCAGGGTATATGCCCAGTAGTGGGATTGCTGGGTCATATGGTAGTTCTATTTGTAGTTTTTTAAGGAACCTCCATACTGTTCTCCATACTGGCTGTACCAATTCACATTCCCACCAGCAGTGCAAGAGTGTTCCCTTTTCTCCACACCCTCTCCAGCATTTATTGTTTCTAGATTTTTTGATGATGGCCATTCTGACTGGTGTGAGATGATATCTCATTGTAGTTTTAATTTGCATTTCTCTAATGATTAATGATGTTGAGCATTCTTTCATGTGTTTGTTGGCAATCTGTATGTCTTCTTTGGAGAAATGTCTATTTAGGTCTTCTGCCCATTTTTGGATTGGGTTGTTTGTTTTTTTGTTATTGAGCTGCATGAGCTGCTTGTAAATTTTGGAGATTAATCCATTGTCAGTTGCTTCATTTGCAAATATTTTCTCCCATTCTGAGGGTTGTCTTTTGGTCTTGTTTATGATTTCCTTTCTGTGCAAAAGCTTTGAAGTTTCATTAGGTCCCATTTTTCTATTTTTTTAAAATTTTTTTGCAGTACGTGGGCCTCTCACTGCCATGGCCCCTCCCGCTGCGGAGCACAGGCTCCAGATGCGCAGGCCCAGTGGCCATGGCCCACGGACCCAGCCACTCCGCAGCACGTGGGACCCTCCCGGACCGGGGCATGAACCCGCGTCCCCTGCATCAGCAGGCGGACTCTCAACCACTGCGCCGCCAGGGAAGCCCCCATTTGTTTATTTTTATTTCCATTTCTCTAGGAAGTGGGTCAAAAAGGATGTTGCTGTGATTTATGTCATACAGTGTTCTGCCTATGTTTTCCTCTAAGAGTTTGATAGTTTCTGGCCTTACATTTAGGTCTTTAATCCATTTTGAGCTTATTTTTGTGTATGGTGTTAGGGAGTGTTCTAATCTCATACTTTTACATGTACCTGTCCAGTTTTCCCAGCACCACTTGTTGAAGAGGCTGTCCTTTCTCCACTGTACATTCCTGCCTCCTTTATCAAAGATAAGGTGACCATATGTGTGTGGGTTTATCTCTGGGCTTTCTATCCTGTTCCATTGATCTATATTTCTGTTTTTGTGCCAGTACCATACTGTCTTGATTACTGTAGCTTTGTAGTATAGTCTGAAGTCAGGAAGCCTGATTCCTCCAGCTCTGTTTTTCGTTCTCAAGATTGCTTTGGTTATTCGGGGCCTTTTGTGTTTCCATACTTAACATTTTGGTACATGACTCGTTTTGAATTATGGTTTTCTCAGGGTATATGCCCAGCAGTGGGGTTGCTGGGTCATATGGTAGTTCTATTTTTAGTTTTTTAAGGAACCTCCATATGTACTTTTGACTGTTGTTTTTTTAAACTACACTCAGTAGCTATCACAACATTAAAAATTATTCCATTGTCAGCAATCTTAAGCCTAGCATTTCAAAGAGCCTACAAAAACATATTTGTACAACTAAAAGGTCAAATGTTATGATACAAACACCTGTACCGCAGCAGCATACTCTCCTGGCACAATTAGGTATGCAATGAGAGATCTACCTCTTCAAAATAATTTTTTTATAGCATTATAAATTTAGAGGTGAAGACATTAGTGTTTCCCAATTCCAAAGATGAGTAATCAATAAACACAAAAATAAACTGACAAGTTTAAAAACTAACCTATGTGAATGGATAAACTGTGACAGCCATACAATAAAAAAGAACTATGGATATATACGCAAAAATGTATGCATCTCGAAAACATTATGTGAGCAAAAGGAACTAGATATAAAATATATACCACATGATCCATTTATATGAAAATTCTAGAAAAGATTAATTGATGGCAACAGAAAGCAAATTAATAGCTGACTGGAGCCAGAGATGGGAGAGGGAATTGACCGGGAAGTGGACAAGGAAATTTTGTAGTTAATAGTGGCGGTAGTAGAAATATTCCTTATCTTGATTGTGGTGGTGTTACATATATCTGGTGGATCCTACTGTATGTAAATGAGACCTCAAGAAAAGTTTATTTAAAATCTTTTAAAATAGCACATGAAAGAAAAATAAACTCGTTAATAAACCAGGAATGGGAATGAAGATATATTTATTATAAATCACAATATCACAGAAACCCAGAGAGGTAAGTTCAGAATAAGAGGACTCTTTTTTCCAGATATAGCTTGCCAATTTTGTAAGAGGTAGCTAAGAGGATGAGAAATCGAGTTGAACTCTCAATAGACTACAGGCAAAAAATAAAGGAGTTCAGGGTCTGCTAAGGATGGAGAATCTGATAAATGCCCAGTGCTTTGGTTGGGGCTCTGGAGGAGCTATACCCTAGGAGTAAGGGTGAACTGGATGCAGAGATACCAGCCCTCACCTAAATCATTCACTAATTTTAGATGATCTGGGACTGCTAGTGTGACAAGCCCCCACCACAAGAAAGTCTTCTGAAGGGAGAAAACACCCTGGACCTAAACAACTTTGCATATAGGATGACTGATATTCTATTTTAAATAAGCAGGCAT